CCAACTCAAAAAAAAAAAAAAGATTGTCTCGCCGGTCAGCCTCCAGGTAGTGTTGTGCGGAGCTGCTTTATTTGGATTTGGTTTCCATGATCCCAACTCACTTGTTACCTGCTTTCCTTTTGAGTTCACAATGATATACGACTTTTAATTTGCTAGAACACAAACACCAGGGGCTTTTTTCATTTAATGTGAGATATTATGGTAGAAGTAAAATGTTTCTTAAAGATATAATAAAACGATTACAATTTTCTATCTTTGGCATTAAGACATAGAACCAGTCTTTAATCCTATAACACAGAAGCAAGATTTGATTCAGAAGAGAAACTTTCTTGTACTAATTTATACACTGTTCATGCCAGATTCAGTCTTTCTTTTTATTAGGTGAATATGGAAAAAACACCTAGAATAATGCAACCATTATGCTGATGAGACTACCAATAGACAGTGTGTAAGAAGTTAGAAAAACACAATTTGGGGGCAGATCTCAGTATTAGTAAGACTATCTTCTTATAACTAACAGCATATATATTTATATAAATTAGAATTGTACTCTTCTAGCTCACAAGATTTTTAAAAGGAAAAATTTTTGTATCACTATACGTTTACTTATAGTTATTTTTAATATAATTTTCATTTTGAAAGAATTTTAGATTCACAGAAAAGTTGGAAAGATAATACAGGGAGTTCCCATAGACCCCTAACACAGATTTCTCTTAGAGTAAATCATGAATTGCCTTGGCTATATAGTGAATTTCTATAGTTTTATGTGGCATCATATCCATTTTGAATATAAGTTGAACTTTCCCACACTAGAAGCTGGGCTCAGTCACTCTGGATATAGTTTCCAGTTCTCCACCTTTTCCCAGTTCCTCTGTGTGGCCGATCCAGATATCTGCCATATGTGACTGCCTCCTGGTGACCACCTCCCTATGGGACAGCTAGATACGACCTGCTGGCCCCGCTGACCCTCACACCCTGCATGGGTGTGCAAAGGTGCCACAGTGACCTGCTCTCAGTCACTGTATGACTTCCTGGAACTCTTGCCTACTTGCTCGAAACCCACCAATTAAAACTCTCTCGGGAAACCTGTTTGGATAATGTCTTGCACCCAGTAAAGACTCTGGCCTACAGGTAGCTCTCTCTGTCTCTCTGCCTGTGCTCCCTGACCTCTGTGTGAGTGACCTCCAGACGTGCTGTGTACCCCCAGGACCTGTAAGTAATAACGTCTGTTTCCATCTGTGTCTCTCCTAATCATTGAAGGATTGCTCTCCATCTTAAGATCCTAGATTAAACCAGATACATTTGTCAAAACTAAGATGCCCATGCTGGCCCATGACTATTTACTAAACTCCAGACTTCACTTGGATTTCACAGTTTTTCCATTAATGTCAACCTAAGTATTTAAAACGTTGTCAGCAGAAAAAGGGGATTTAATTTCACAATGGTAATTTATAAACAAACAAATGATATTCTTGAGGATATTCTTGAGAAAATTCTTGTGTATCAATAACATATCACCTTTAACTATAGTTTGTATCGATATACAATATATCAGTATAGAAACCAGGCCTCGGAAAAGACTTTTCTTCACTAAGTAATGCATGTGAAGTATGATAAGTGACGTGAGAATGCAGAGACCAGGTACCCCAAGAAGTGCAAGGCAGTCAGTTGAGCCACATACTAATTCTGAAATGTAAAACTGTAAATGTAAATAAAAGTCACATTAGGACAAAATTTGTTCAAGTAATAAAGTAAAATTTGTCATTCTCTCTAGCTGTATAGATATGAGAGCACCTCTAGAGTACATTATTCCAATACTTATTTACTAAGGAAACCAATAAGTTTGATTTTTTAAATGACGTGTTTGTCTCAAAGCACATGCTTTTGTCACTTTGAAAGTTTTCTAGACTTGAGTATTGGCTGTTAAGGATATAGAATGATATACATTAGTAATGTGACAATAGCTTCTGGTCAGGAGCTGCTATGGTTTGGATGTTTGTCTCCTCCAAATCTAATGTTGAAATCTGATCCCCAGTGATGCAGGTGGGGCCTAATGGGAGGTGCTTGGGTCATGGGGGCAGAGCCTTCTTGAATAGATTCATGCCCTTCTTTGGGGGTGAGTGAGTTCTCCTCTATCAGTTCTCTGAGAACTGGTCTTTAAGCCTGGCCCCTCCCCTTCTCTTTCTTCCTCTCTCACCATATGATCTCTGCAGTCTCTGACTCCCCTTTGTCTTCCACCATAAGAAGCAACCTGAGGGTCTCACCAGATGCCCATGCCCAATCTTGAATTATTCAGCCATCCAGAATCATAAGCCAAATGAACCTTTTTTATTTTTAAATAAATTGCCCAGCCTCAGATGTTCCTTTATAACAGCATAAAAAGGCTAATACAGGAACCTACACTCCCGTGTAGGCCATATGTTACAAGGGTGTGAGTCTAATAGTTTAGCGTCCACACTTGGTCTTATGTTTACATCCTTTTTCAGGTTCATAAGTTCTATGCTGTAACTTGAAAATCTTTTTTACACACTAGTAAGGCCATAGGAAATTGTAAGTATTAAGTGTCAAGCACATTTGAAAATTAGACACTGTGCAATGAAAGACAGGCTGTGTATTGCCTGAGAGACTAATGATCAGTTTAGGCAGGTGAATTGTTCAGAAACATGATCTGACCCAAGTTATGTCAGCCTTAATAGAAATCTGGCTGATAAACAACTAATTCTTGAAAGATGGTACTGATACAGACTATTTCACCTGAAGATTGTTTACTTGATAAAATATACTTTAAGTTTTGGAAGGTGGTTTAGTGTTTATATTTCAAAAATATATATAGTCAACTCTGTATCCATGAGGGATTGGACCCATGACCTCCCACAGATACCAAAATCCACAGATGTTCAAATCCCTTATAAAAATGATGCAGTATTGGCATATAACCTACACACAGCCTCTCATATACTGTAAGTAGCCTGAGGTTACATATACTCCCTAATACAATATAAACGCTATGTAAATGGTTGTTATGCTACATTTTTATTTTATTTGTTTTATTTTTTATTCCCTTTTTTCCAAATATATTTCATTGAAGTTTGGTGGAATCAGCGGATATGGAACCCACAAGCAGGGAGGGTTTACAGTATCTAAATCTAGATTAATGTAAATGATAAAAAATTTTTATCTCCATTTAGGAAGATCCTACCAAAGGGGAATGTAGACTCACTCAAAGATTGCTTTGATTAATTCACATATTTGCGACTGACAGTGGGTGTCTGTATCTCTTGTCTATGTGGCTGTGTGTGTGACCACCCATGCCGGAGGTACCAGTAGATTTCATAATCTGTCTGAGGAATAACAATAATAATGGACAATAATTTTGATCACATACAGATAGACTTGCTTGACACAGGGTTGCCACAAACATTCAATTTGTAAAAAATGCAATATCTGCTGAAGCAAAGCAGAATAAGGCAAGATATGCCTGATTAAGACAAAGCAAGAGTCTTTGAAGCAGTAAGAGATGTACAAGGGATTCTCAGTAAACCTATACGTCTAGGGCCAAGGGTATCAAGTCCACTCAACAGGGGAAAGAATAGTCTCTTCAATATATGATGTGGGAGAAACGGATTTCCACACACAAGAGTGAAGTTAGACCCCTACTTCACACCATATACAAAAAAGCCCTCACAACTGATGAACTAAATATAAGAATTTAAATCATAAAACTCTTAGAGGAAAACACAGGAGTTAAGTCTTCATGAACTTGAGTTTGGCAATGGAATCTTTGAGCCTAGGAAAAAATAAACAGTCAAAAATAGGTAAATTGGATCTCATCAAAATTTAAAAACTTAAAACTTGTGAATCAAAAATTTAAAACTTGTGAATCAAAGGACATTATCAAGAAAGGGAAAGACAACCTACAGAGTGGGAGAAAATATTTGGAAATCACATATCTGATAACA